CTTGGGCAGATTGCTCAAGGGTCAGGAGTTCGAACTCCAGCCTGAGCAAGAACAGAGACCTCCGTCTCTACTAAAAATAGAAAGAAATTATCGGCCAACTAATATGTATACAGAAACAAATATTAGCCCGGGCATCGTGGCGGGCATGCCTGCCAGTCCCCAGCTTAACTCGCGGAGCCTGAGCGCATAGGATTGCTGGTTAGCCCAGGAGTTTGAGGTTGCTGTGAGTCTAGGCTGAGGCCACGGCAACTCACTCTAGCCTGGGCAACAAAGCGAGGACTCTGTCTCAAAAAGAAAAAAAAGCGGCCTATCTGTATTTTTTTTTTTTGAGACGAGAGTCCTAGCTTCTTTCAGCCCAGGCTAGCGTGTAGTGGCATCATCAGAGCTCACCCAGCAACCTCATTCCTGGCGAAGCAATTTCCCTGCCTCCAGCCTCCTCGAACTAGCCTGGGACTACAGTCACCAGCCACCACACCAGGCCCCTTAAATTTGCCACTTTATTTATTTTATTTATTTATTTTATTTATTTTATTTATTTATTTTATTTATTTTTGAGACAGAGTCCCAGTTTTGTGGGCCCGGCTGGAGTGAGTGCCGGTGGCATCCGGCCCTAGCTCAGCAGCAACCTCCCCATCTCCCTCGGCTCAAGCGATCCTCCTGCTCAGGCCTCCCAGTAGCTGGGACTCATAACGGCATGCGCCAACAGCCAAATCCATCCCACCCATCAAGGCCTTTTCCTGCACAGCCCATAGGCTAAGAGTAGCTTTTACATATTTAAATGGTTATGAAAAAACAACAAAGAATAACATTCAACAGAGACTATGTGGCCTACGAGGAGTCTGCTGACCCCTGACCCAGAAGGCTCTCCCCAGCCCACCTTCCAACACTGCAGTTCCCAAGACCTCAATCGAGTAACTAGTTTCCCCACAACACACTTTACTGGCCACTGATTTCTCTCCCTCTTCCCGACAAAACACAACTTTAGTCCTCAGTATTTAAAAGCTACTATATTAGACGGAATTATTTTATACTAATCTCTAAAAGGGAACACAATTTTCAAGCTGAAAAGGGACCTCAGAAACCATGTGGTGGGGAAGGGGGTCCTATCCTCTATGTAGGAAGGAAAGTATGACCAAGACTGGCTTAAACTTGCAAAGTCTGTAAGTAGCTGGAATAAAATAGGGTGTCCTGACTCCCCCTCCAGTGCTTCGCTACAAGGACATTACCCACTCCCCATGTCTGTTCTTTACAGAACTGTCAGATTTAGCAAATAAGAATATAAAATGCCACCGGGCCTGGTGGCTCACGCCTGTGATCCCAGCACTCTGGGAGGCCAAGATAGGAGGATCATTTGAGCCCAAGACTTTGAGACCAGACTGGGCAACACAGTAAGACCCTGTCTCTACTAAAAACAAGATGAAGGCTGGGTGCGGTGGCTCATGCCTGTAATCCTAGCCCTCTGGGAGGCCAAGGCCGGCGGATTGCTCAAGGTCAGGAGTTCGAAACCAGCCTAAGTAAGAGTGAGACCTCGTCTCTACCATAAATAGAAAGAAGTTAATTGGCCAACTAATATATATAGGAAAAAAAATTAGCCGGGCATGGTGGCGCATGCCTGTAGTCCCAGCTACTCGGGAAGCTGAGGCAGCAGGATCGCTTGAGCCCAGGAGCTTGAGGTTGCTGTAAGGTAGGCTGACGCCACGGCACTCACTCTAGCCTGGGCAACAAAGCGAGACTCTGTCTCAAAAAAAAAAAAAAAGAAAAAGAAAAAGAAAAAAGAAATGAGCCAGATGTGGTTGCATGTGCCTGTAGTCCCAACTACTCAGGAGGATGAGGAGGGAGGATCACTTGAGCCCAGAAGCTTGAGGTTACAGTAACTGTGCCACTGCACTCCAGACTGAGAGACAGAGCAAGACCCCGTCTCTAAAAAGACATAAACAACTAACTTTTTAGTAAATACCTACACAAAATGTGAGGATATACTTTATACTAAGAAATTTTTCCTGATTATCTGAAATCCCAATTTAACTGGGAGCCCTGGTTTTCTCTAGCACACCTCATTCTCCAAGCCTGGCTGCTTGGGAGCCACCTCTTTGTGGATTCATGCCTTCTGCTCTCGCGATAACCCAGTATCCCAGGGCAAGAGCCAAGGTCCACCTGCAGAAACCCCTTGAGGTTCAGCCGCACTGCTGCCTCTTCCTTAGCCTTCCCATGCACTCCACTGTGCTTCCCCAAATCCTGTGCTCACACCACTAACACATGAACATACAAGCACGTGACTTCCCATAAAGATGGTCACTGAGGCATGAAGGCAATCCTAACACTACTGGGTCCCCACCAACCACGGAACCTCACACTAAACACATCTTTCCTCAGGGAAGGTGTTCTTCTGACCGCACAACCCCAAGATTACACTCCAGGGCTTTAAAAATGCTTCCTGAGGAAAACAGAGTCATTCTAGTGTTTTTGAGGGACTGGATAGTTTAGCACTAAAGGCATCCAACAGGATTGGCTTTCAGTTCTTATTCCCAGTAGTAATACATACAATCTTGTTCTTGGCTCTTTCTCTGTCCAGTTTCAAAAATTCACTGAGGGTTAATTCTTCAAACTGCTTCTTGACAGAAAGGAAAGCACAACCAGACGAATGCTTTTTATGTTCCTCTCTAGAAAAATCAAGACATGAGCAAGTCAACAGAGGAAGTCAGATAAAAGGGGGAAAGCAGCCATCACTTCCCAATCCCCCCGGCCCCGCCCACCCCCATGAGCATACCCTGCCTGTTTTGCTCCAAGAGTGAAGTGCTAAGTCTGAGCTTGATCGAATCAGTGCTGTGCCCCAAGCACATACCCACATGGCTTGTCTCAGCTGCTAAGACTTAGCACGGTATCTCTCTGTGGACGTCTCCCCCAAATCCTGTGGTTGATGTATTTTATCTGGACTCCTTTAGCAATAGTGGGAAAAGTGTTATATGGTATAAGTCAAATCCCTCTACAGTACTCAAGGAACTGTTTGAAGTGATTTCATTTCCCTAGAATTTTACATGAGCCACTGGTTCAGAGCAAAGGCATCATTGGCCAGGCTTCCCAGGGGACCCCTCTACCTCATACCATCATTCTCTGCCATAGGACTCTCCCTGAACAGCTAACTGTTGTCCTAATCAGAACAGTATTATTTATTTATTTATTTATTTATTTTGACATATATAAACACAAGTGTAAGAACAGTATTATTTAACAGAATGAAAACAGTCACCCAAAGTCCACAAGGATGGCCAACAGTAACTATAATCTGAAAATATTATAACACTTAGAAATTCACCCAGTGATCACTGGTATAATCACCATGCCATTCCAATCAACACTTGATCACAATAGCAAACATACCAAGAAAAAAAACAGCAACTGTGTTTCTGACCAAGAAGATAAACAGTTTCTCTAGGGGAAAAGATTATAGTTGTGGAAACAATTGATTCTGACAGGAAAACAAAGTGAGAAAAGAACATGGCATTACAACTACAGAGAGACAATATAGCACATCAGAATACACACACAGAATTTTTTTTCTAAATAACTACGTGTCTTGAAGAAAAAAATCCGTAACACTGAAAAGTGTGCACTTTAAAAGGGTGATTTTTTGTGTGTGCTGTGTGGATTACATACCAATAAAGTTTGTTTTTCAAAAAAATCTCAAACAAGAAAAGCACTAGGAAATTCCTGGGAGTTCAGGACCACAGGATCTGCTAAAGTATTCCCATCCAACCTGAAAGGCATCAAGCACCTGCATGAATGAGACTTTCTTCAACATCCACCCCAGGACCTTCTGGCCAGATTTGAAGAGGGGGTGCGCATCACCAAGGCACACAGAGAGGTATCCGTTCACGACAGCGTTTAAGAAACACCACGAGCCTGGGATGCCTTCGCTCCTGCACTGTCTCCAGTGCAAATCGTTTTCGAGAGCACAGTTCCGAAAAGTTTCCAGATAGGGCCTGGAAGCCCATCGACGCTGGCTTCAAGGGACTTACATGGGGTCGTCATCCGGCTCCCAGCCCTCCAGCTCCTTGAAGCAGAAGAAACACTGGGCCAAGTCGGGCTCGTTCTCAGTGGGGCAGTGGATGAAGCCGGCCTCGGCCATCTGCAAGGGACAGCGCAGTTGTGAGTGGACGCGGCGGCCCAGAGCCCCGGGGCCCGGCCACAGAGGGGCCGGCAGCCCCCGGGAAGGGTCGGCGGCGGCCTGGGGAGGGTGGGGCGGGCAGCCGGGATCCTCGGGGCCCAGGCAGGGAGGGGCCGGCAGTCCCCGGGAAGGGTCGTTTGGGTCTGGGAAGGGCAGCCGGGATCCTCGGGGCCCAGGCTGGGAGGGGCCGGCAGCCCCCGGGAAGGGTCGTTTGGGTCTGGGAAGGGCAGCCGGGATCCTCGGGCCCCAGGCTGGGAGGGGCCGGCAGTCCCCGGGAAGGGTCGTTTGGGTCTGGGAAGGGCAGCCGGGATCCTCGGGGCCCAGGCTGGGAGGGGCCGGC